CCCTCGCAGTCCTTATGCAAGGAAGTGAGAGCGATGCACTGATGAACCTTGCTTGCCCTGACATGACCATTTTTTATAACTACCTAACTTACTGGTAATATTAGTATCACCATGGATATCGCCTTGTATTAGCTCTCGCCGTGGTTACTTTAAGACAGATGTAACCAGCAAAAGGTAGTTATGCATTTTCCATTACAATATATGTTAACATGAATTATCGTATGCAACGTTCATCTTCATCATGCTTTTCCCCGAATACCAGCATATCGTGTAGCTTTTCTGCGCACAAACTTCAATCTATTTCGGCAATGTTTATAAATCGTGCAGGGTTTTCACTCGAGGAACGGCAGTAGGGGAGGGGGCTGTCCTTCCCTCCTCAATATACTTTCAGAGGGGCCTCCAAATGAGCTAATCATCTTTCAGGGTTGTCAAAAATTTCACATAGAGTTCAAAACACATTGCCGAAAAGATATCTCATAATATGCAAATAGCACTATCTACTGAATAAAGGGATGACAAGAATACATGCCATGCCCACTGCAATATAAGTTCATCAATTGTTTTTACACATAGATGGCTATACAAGTGTTATTCACCAACAGACAGTTATTAGTCCTATCAATCTCAACTGTTTACCTTTTTCCTTGATTCTTGGAAAGTTCCATTTGTATGATATTATTGTTTTAATGTTATTAATATTTTAACAACAATTTAATAATCGTAATATATAAAAATAACATCAGTTTCAATATTAATTCAAGGAATGAGGAAATCAAGCGCGATCACTCGGGACATTCGGTGTTACCATGGGCTCTCCCCTCTCTCCAGTCTTGGCAAACCTTTTAATGGAATTCTTAGACTCTGAGCTTCCATCTCCCTTCCATCTCCCTTCGTCCGTCGGTTTGGCTGAGGTATGTTGACGACGTCTTTGCTCTTTGGCCTCATGACCCTGTCCTGTTCTCGGATTTCTTGACGCAGCTGACCCTTTGCTGGCTGAGCACATGTACAGCCATCTGTATGTAACAAAATTCACACAAAAAAAAATAGAAGTGATAGTACATAACTCCGTAGTTATTGAGTTAAGATGGGTGTTATATGACAATGATAGTATATTGAGCATCTTATTTAAATTCACAGATCAGGAGATTTCATTTATTAAGGGTTTTCAACTTCCAGTCCCTCTTCCTTTGAAATTAGAGAAAAAAACGCAGAATGATAATCAGATGTATCTTTATACCATGCGAAGGTATTACGACATAGAACACTTTGACCTAGCCATATGCCATGCAATCAAAGTAATATTGAGTATTTCAATGATTCTTTAGGTAATCGGTTTCTGTACTGACAACTGTATAGGAAAGTAGAAATAAAGGACCATTACAAAACAGTATGCTACTCCTCCGTGTAGGTAACCAGGAAGCACGTTACCCCTTATCATACATAGGGAATACTGCCTGTCTACACGATTTCAGATTAAATCAACATAATTTCGTCTTATTTCTGTCTATTATAGATGATTTGTATGCCTATGTTAGTGACGAGACGAGCAGCTGGTACAAAACTTCTATTCTGGAATGTTTTAACGGTCTAATTAGGATTTCTACTTTACAGACTTTACTAATAGTGTTGCAGTTTATGATGTAACATAACTTACCAGTGCGGAAAATATTAAATATTGCAGATTAAATAAGTCGACATGTGCCAGATGACAATGACTCAGGACCCATTGGTTAATATGGGCCTATCATGCTTATCACTATCATATTGGACATATGATAGTGTATGAAATCATCCGTTACTGCAGAGTAAGTTATTACGCTAGGAGGGGAAAAAAGCTTGATTCTCATTGTCAGAGAAAATGGAGAGAATGACATGTACTCCACGTTTTCATCTTATCTTTTTAAAGATATTTATTTTGTATTATATATATATATATATATATATATATAATACATTTATATATATATATATATATATATATATATATATATATATATATATGTATATATATAATACATACATATATATATATATATATATATATATATATATATATATATATATATATATATATATATGTATGTATATGTATATATAAGTAATACATACATATATATATATATATATATATATATATATATATATATATATATATATATATATATATATATATATATATATATATATGTATCTGTATATATAAGTAATACATACATACATACATATATACATATATATATATATAGAGAGAGAGAGAGAGAGAGAGAGAGACGAATAGATAGACATAATATGTATATATATAAATAAGTAAGCTGATGCCAAGCAGATGTGATCCAACACCCAGAGTTTTCCTCTGGACCTGTCAGATAATATGGTGGTTTTCTTGTAAATTCAAATCAGAGATCATTATATACAGTATATATATATATGAATGGTAAACACTCTTCCCCATTGATACTGTGGTAGATACAATGCAAGACTAGAATTATTGAAATTGAGAGTTTCGAAATCCACCTGGATTCCATCTTCAGGTCTGAAGAGGAAAGGGAAAGGAGGGGATATAATAGAGAGAGAGAGAAGAGGCAACGCAGTAACACGGGGCAGGTAAGGACATACGAACGGAAGTGAAGAAAGGTCGATCAGGCGGTCGGAGGATCGGCCGGACTATGCACATGGCCGGTACAAGGGAGAAGGCGAGGATGTGGGAAGCGAGGAGATTGTCGGCAGGAGAAAAGCCGCTGTTCAAATTGAAATTAGGCAACAGCTTTAAGAGAGAACTCCACCACTCTGCGAGCGTGGACATCAGCGGAAGGAAAGACAATTCGTGCTACTGACCAGTAGCACGATGGCCTGTGTCCCACTGATGGCAAAAGAGGGCGTTGTTGATATGTCCCGTGGATATAGTGTACTTATGTTGAGATAGTTTCTTAGTGAGACTGGCACCCGTCTCACTGAAGTATTCCTTATTACAGGAGGCACAAGGAACAGCATAGGTGCCCACCTTCGAGGTAGAGTGAGGACTGGTGTGGACCAGGTTGCAATGGAGAGTGTTCACATGGTGAAAGTTCAGCCTGCAGTTGAGAGGTTGAAGAGGGTGATAGAGAGAGTAGACATTCGGTGGTACCATTCGGTGGTACCAGTCTTGGCAAGCCTTTTAATGGAATTCTTAGACTCTGAGCTTCTCCCTTCCATCTCCCTTCGTCCGTCGGTTTGGCTGAGGTATGTTGACGACTTTGTCTTTGCTCTTTGGCCTCATGACCCTGCCCTGTTCTCGGATTTCTTGAAGCAGCTGAACTTTCTCTCCTTCCATCCGTTTTAAGGAGGGATGGGAGATTGACAACAAGCTCCCCTTCTTAGACACACTGGTTCATCGCTCTGCTAAACACTTCTCCATATATAGGAAGCCCATGCATAGTGGTATGCACATACACTTCTCATACTGTCCTCTCCATGTAAAGAGAGGAGTTGCCACCTCGCTGCTCCTCCGCATCTGTGACCCTTAGTACCTAGATGGAGAGATCGACTTCCTGCGTCGGTCGTTCTCGAAACTGGGCAACCCTCGTCATGTTCTTGACTTCGCGTTATCCAGGGCACGATGTACCTTCTACCACCATTCCTCTCCAAAAGAGAATCCTCATCTGCCCATCCTCAGGATGCCATACACTGAGGAGATCTCTCCGACATCCTCTTTACCCCCTTAACTGCAGGATGATCTTTCGC